CGGCTCGATTTATAGTAAGGTGTGGGGTAGTGGCAGAAATTTATCCTTTCGAACGTCAGGATATCTATGGAATTACAAAGAAGAGTCTTAAGGTATGTGTGGAGGTTTTGGGAAGTGGGCATGGTTGGGCAATAGATGTGGTAATGCACTGCGGGTAAGACAGGGGAAGGATTGGGATTGATGGCATTAGGTTCTAGGGTTGAAGGCCTATATGTGAATGCAGAGGAATAATTCGGGCTGTGGGCGAAAGGGGGTCTTCAGGAGGGGGAGGGAGTGATGGGGGATATCCACAAAGGTGGGGCGGCAGGGACTTAGTTGGAGTGTGAAGATATGTTGTGGTTTATGTTAAAGGTTCGCATGTTAAAACCCTCAGGTAAACGGTTTGGTGCGGTGTGCTGTGGTCGTCATCTGGAATCAATGCAGGGTAGATGGCAGTGTTTCCCAAATAGGATTGGGAGAATGCATATGGGTGGAATTTAGTTAACTAAAAACTAAAGGCAAAGAGTGAGGGAATTAGTATTTAGATTTCTTATGGGACGTTAGCATCGAAAGAGGTAGCTAAGGCGGAGTGGGTTTTTGTGAGAGAGGCGTCATGCTGGTTTTTGTGAGGGATGTTGAAACTGCTTTCCATGTTTGTTTATTTTTGTCTCAGCTGTTGGACGCGTGGTAGAATGTGGTTGAAGAGGGTTTTCCTTTACTTGGAGGGAGGGTCAGATATCACCCCTTAGGGCTTTAATGTAGAATATTGGGTGGGGTGCCCAACGAGGTGGGGGAGGGCTATCAGTTACGTATATTGTTGATTATTGTATGTTTCTTGGGGGATGAGGGAGGTGGAGGGAAACATTAGGATAAAAGCGTTAGCGGCATGTTTTTATAGGACAGCATGTAGGAACAAACAATTATATGGGGGACGGTGGGTAACTAGTTTTCCGGAGGGATATCGTGGACTTACTGTTGAACGTTTACTCCGCTTGGTGACGGGGTGAGAGACAAGGGGTTGGTCTCTTCAGTGGTGTGCCCTCTTGGTGTGCTTGGATGCCTGATGAGGAAGGTTGACTGGTTTGCAAGGTGTTTTGATGTGGGTAAAGTTTATTTGCAGGGAGCCGTCGGGGGCTCTGGGGTATGTAGACCTTATGAATTTTGTAAAACCACAGGGTTAAAAGTTGTATATGATTTTGTTTTTTCTTTTATTGTTATAAGAAACATTTTATATAGGGGGTTTATATTCATATGTATATGTGAGGATATGTTTATATATTCGAATCTGATGATAGCTTTATCCTTGTCATACGTCTTTTTTTTATCGTATTGAAGGGGTACATTATGGACTATGTACGAGAATATATAGGTATTTTATGGGGTTTATATATACCCTTCATTTTGTATGGAAGGTCATATTATATATTGAGTGTTAATCGGTAACATTAACTTTGTGTGTGTGTAGGTGTGTTTGTGGGAACCAATGTCTTAGGTATAGTTCTATTATTGGATGTAATATATTTTTAGTTTATTTGGTGACTAGTCATTTAGCGTTTTATATCTATGTATAATCCAGTTTGTTCTGTACGAACACATGTGCACATACGCGTATGTGTGTATGTGCATGCGTATATATATACATATATATATGATTGTAGGACTTATTCCTACATGTTTTATAATGACTCCGACTGATTGTTTGGAAGTCGGTATGTTTTTTTTTTCCATAAATTGGTTGGGTTATTTCAGTAGAATTTTGTTATATCAATGTGTTAAAATGTATTTTGTGTGTACCTGACATTGTCTGCCACTTCTGTTATGGATGTTATATATTTTAGTTTATTTGGTGATAAGTCATTTTGCGTTTTTTTTTTTCGTGTATAATCCAGTTTGTTCTGTGAGAACAAATGTGCACATACATGTATGTGTATATGTGCATGTGTATGTATATACATATATACATGATTATAGGACTTATTCCTACATGTTTTATAATGACTCCGACGTTTTGTATTAGTAGTCGGTATGTTTTTTTTCGTAAATAGGTTGGGTTTATTTCAGTAGAATTTTTGTTATATCAATGTGTTAAAATGTATTTTGTTTTTTGTGTGTGTACTGACATTGTCTGCCACGGTTTTTGATTTGCTAATTGTCGGCTTGTGTTTTTCTTATTATGGTTTATGTGTATGTTGCTTTTAAATAAAATATAAAAAAAAAGTTCCACATGTAAGTCGTAAATACACATTTTTTGGTCTTAGGATAATTATTACACTCACTGTCAGGGACTGGTGACTTAGGTATGTGTTCTGGTGGTATATATAATGTCATGGACCTTGTGATGGTTTACACTTTATGTGGAAATTTATAAGAAGTACTGTGGTAATTTATACCCATGTTAAATTTAATTGCTGTTCAATGAAATTGTTTGTGGGCGCTGTGACCCTACATACTTGTACATTTGCACATTTGTATTGTTGTTAAATTAGTGGAATAAAATATGAAGTAAAAATATGATGATCTGAGGCAAATGGGGGGGGGGGTGAACTACCCAAAAATATTTGTTATTTAATGTTTTTCATTAATGTCTATATTGGGCATGGGAATGCGAGGAGGCTTAATAAATTCATTCGGTATTTTTAATATCTTATGTAAGTTAATGAACATGTACGACACTGATATAATTCCTGTGAATTTTAATTTTCATAAGTCTTGTGATACTATGTATATGTAATATGTGAGTCCGTGACTATATCATGTGAAATGTTCTCATGGGTGACGGCATTCATAATTATGTACATGGTTTTTAGTTATAGTCATAATACTAAGTTCAATATCATGTCCTTTTTTCTAAATATTATTGGTCATGTTGGGATAATCTAGGCATCTTACACTAAAGAGGATTTTTTTTTTTTGTATTGTTAACAAGATAATATATTCAAGGTTTCAATTACGTTGGTTATTCGTGTTTGCGTTCACTGAACAATGGTATGATCTGGGGTTATGGGGGGTGTGGGGGTGTACTGGGGGAGTGTGGGGGTGTACTGGGGGTGTACTGGGGGTGTGGGGTGTACTGGGGGGGGGGGGGGTGTACTGGAGGGGTGTGGGGGTACTGGGGGTGTACTGGGGAGTGTGGGTGTACTGGGTGTGTGGGTGTACTGGGGGTGTGGGGGGTGTACTGGGGGTGTGTGGGTGTACTGGGGGGTGTGGGTGTACTGGGGGTGTGGGTGTAACTGGGGGTGGGGGGTGTACTGGGGTGTGTGGGGGTGTACTGGGGGGTGTGGGTGTACTGGGTGTGTGGGGGTGTACTGGGGGGTGTGGGTGTACTGGGGGGTGTGGGTGTACTGGAGGTGTGTGGGTGTACTGGGGGTGTGTGGGTGTACTGGGGGGTGTGGGTGTACTGGGGGTGTGGGTGTACTGGGGTGTGTGGGTGTACTGGGGAGTGTGGGTGTACTGGGTGTGTGGGTGTACTGGGGGGTGTGGGGGTGTACTGGGGTGTGGGGTGTACTGGGGGGTGTGGGTGTACTGGGGGTGTGGGTGTACTGGGGGTGGGGGTGTACTGGGTGTGTGGGGTGTACTGGGGTGTGTGGGAGTGTACTGGGGGTGTGGGTGTACTGGGGTGTGTGGGGGTGTACTGGGGGGGTGTGGGTGTACTGGGGGGTGTGGGTGTACTGGGGGGTGGGGGTGTACTGGAGGTGTTGGGGTGTACTGGGGTGTGGGGGTGTACTGGGGGGTGTGGGTGTACGGGGGGTGTGGGTGTACTGGGGGTGTGGGTATACTGGTGTGTGTGTGGTGTACTTGGGGGTGTGGGTGTACTGGGGGGTGGGGGTGTACTGGGGGGTGGGGGTGTACTGGGGGGGTGTACTGGGGGGTGTACTGGGGTGTGTGGGTGTACTGGGGGGTGTGGGTGTAACTGGGGGGGTGTGGGTGTACTGGGGGGGTGTGGATGTACTGGGGTGTGTGGGTGTACTGGGGGGGGTGTCGGGGTGTACTGCTCAAACATTTTATTACATGTATTTAATGTGTATATTGCTGTTAGGAAGGGGTAATTGAGAATTGTTTTTAATAAGTATTGCTTGCACAGTTTTTCTTTGTTTTGGTGTAAAGTAATTTTCTATGTATGAGGTGTGTGCAGTGTACTGACATATTACTGTACTTGAGATGATGTGATTGATGGCGGGTATAATATTGTGTCAACTTGTTCACACAAGTGTTGGTGGTTGTACCGAGGCATTTGAAGAGAAAATTTTCTAATGGCAGTGTAACACTTGTAGTGTTTTGCTTATGATTGTTTTTTGTAGGTGAAATATCAGACACTATGCTTTATTTATTTATTGTAATGTGTATTTTAAATAAAAAAAATCATACATGATGTAAATAACCCCCCAAAAAAGTTAAATATCATAGTGTAAATTGCCCGGGATATCACAAAAAAGGTCAAAGTTATCATTGTACTTATGTGTACCTGTACCTAAGTAACTTGACTTATGATGATGTTAAGGTGTTGTGTGAGGCAGTGTTGGCGTCTCTCCCTCTCTCCACCAACACTGGTGCTGCCATCACCGCCGCTGCCATCACCGCCGCTGCCATCACCGCCGCTGCCATCACCATACACCCGCCATCATACAGACGCCACTATGCCACCCAAGAGGAAGAAGGTACGCTATATCTCTCCTGTCTCTATATCTTAATGGTTTTAGGGAAGGTTGGTCTTGGTAGGTCTCAGACCACCAGTGTGTAGTGACTGTCATGCATATTCACTCTAATATATTATAATACACTGCAAATTAAGTCACTTCTGACTTTTTTTGGGAGGTGGGTTATCCTAGGTAATTCACGCCATGTATAATTAAATTTGTGTATACTTGTACCAAATAAATTGACTTAAACCTAAGTAATTTACACCATGTATGGAAAATACTATATTTTCCGAAAATAGTGTATTTTGTACGTAAATTGATAGAATATATTGTAGTTAAAAATCAATTGAATATAAAAATGAAGGAGCGACGGTGAGTTAGCATGGCTGGGGAGAGACGCCATTGTTGGGAACTGGCCGAAGGTCTTCTACTGATTTGGGCATAAATTTCGTCGCTCTGGAGGTTAAATTGTGGTTGAAAGCTCCCAAATAGGAGCAGAAATTGTTGGAATTGCTGTCCTGTATAACTTGAGGCGGCGAGTGGACAGGGCAGCCAGGGAACCTCAGCTAAATCATGTCTATTTGTTGAAATTTTGACCAGTATTTTCTTCATATTTTTGTGTATGACACCGTAATCTCCAGACAGATTGGTGAGTTGTATTATTATAAATTCTCTTTCAGTGTGTATGTAGTCATTTATTAAAATTAACATAGTCCACATACTTATATTAATGTAACAGAATTCCTGGTGATGTATATTTCATTTAAAATAATATAGGTCCAGAGTGACTTGTGGAGATATGACAGTAGTAGGTATCGAGGACATTTTTTGCCACCTAGGTGTCCTAAAATTCCTACATGTGTCTGTAACCTTGATAAAGAATAATTATCTTTGTTACCATTTACTGGTATGTATCTTATGAGGTTCATCCAGATATTTTAAATTTTTCCATACCATGTATGATAATTTATTTTTTGGGTTATTTTAAGTAATTTACACTGATAATTGTACGTGTGTGTACACTATTTTTACTTGATGCTGATTAGCTCTTGATCCAAGCAGTTTGCACTTTCAAATTCAGATTCATTTATTTCTTTGCAAGTAGTACATTGAGATTATATTTTTACAGTAATGGGTTGCAGTGCAATGAGCCACTATTATGCCTAGGCATTATGGGCTGACTTAATTCAATGGCTTACTGATTACTTATCACTAAAGAAATCATCATAGTTGTACAGTAGTTTTATTAATAATAAGTGAATCTAATTTACACAAACAAAAGGATATATTCATGTATTCAAAAATGCTGTTTATGAAACATGATTCAGGAGTAGTTTACAGTATGAGAGAAGCCAGGTATAGATACTCAAAAATCAGGGACAAGCCATACCCCCGGCCGGGATTGAACCCGCGGTCATAGTCTCAAAACTCCAGCTCTGAACGCGGGTTCAATCCCGGCCGGGGGTATGGTTTGTTTGCAATCGTGTCATTACGATTTCTTGAGTCATCAGGGACAAAGGAATTAATGTACAATTGCTATGGGTCCCATCACACATTGGATTACTCCTTCATGATAAAGTTGATATGTTAGCCAAGAAGAGTACCCAGAAGGAGAATGTAAAATATAACTTTGGTATGTGTGTCTAGCATTAGGAATAATATTAGGAGAGAAGTACATAACTTTATAAAACTGGGATGCTTGAATGTGCGTGGATGGTAGTGCAGATGACAAGAAACAGATGATTGCTGATGTTATGAATGAAAAGAAGTTGGATGTCCTGGCCCTAAGCGAAACAAAGCTGAAGGGGGTAGGGGAGTTTCGGTGGGGGGAAATAAATGGGATTAAATCTGGAGTATCTGAGAGAGTTAGAGCAAAGGAAGGGGTAGCAGTAATGTTGAATGATCAGTTATGGAAGGAGAAAAGAGAATATGAATGTGTAAATGCAAGAATTATGTGGATTAAAGTAAAGGTTGGATGCGAGAAGTGGGTCATAATAAGCGTGTATGCACCTGGAGAAGAGAGGAATGCAGAGGAGAGAGAGATTTTGGGAGATGTTAAGTGAATGCATAGGAGCCTTTGAACCAAGTGAGAGAGTAATTGTGGTAGAGGACCTGAATGCTAAATGTAGGAGAAACTTTAGAGAGGGTGTGGTAGGTAAGTTTGGGGTGCCAGGTGTAAATGATAATGGGAGCCCTTTGATTGAACTTTTGTATAGAAAGGGGTTTAGTTATAGGTAATACATATTTTAAGGAAAAGAGGATAAATAAGTATACAAGATATGATGTAGGGCGAAATGACAGTAGTTTGTTGGATTATGTATTGGTAGATAAAAGACTGTTGAGTAGACTTCAGGATGTACATGTTTTAAAGGGGCCACAGATATATCAGATCACTTTCTAGTTGTAGCTACACTGAGAGTAAAAGGTAGATGGGATACAAGGAGAATAGAAGCATCAGGGAAGAGAGAGGTGAATGTTTATAAACTAAAAGAGGAGGCAGTTAGGGAAGATATAAACAGCTATTGGAGGATAGATGGGCTAATGAGAGCATAGGCAATGGGGTCGAAGAGGTATGGGTAGGTTTAAAAATGTAGTGTTAGTGTTCAGCAGAAGTTTGTGGTTACAGGAAAGTGGGTGCGGGAGGGAAGAGGAGCGATTGGTGGAATGATGATGTAAGAGAGTAGTAAGGGAGAAAAAAGTTAGCATATGAGAAGTTTTTACAAAGTAGAAGTGATGCAAGGAGGGAAGAGTATATGGAGAAAAAGAGAGAGGTTAAGAGAGCGGTGAAGCAATGTAAAAGAGAGCAAATGAGAGAGTGGTGAGATGTTATCAACAAATTTTGTTGAAAATAAGAAAAAGTTTTGGAGTGAGATTAACAAGTTAAGGAAGCCTAGAGAACAAATGGATTTGTCAGTTAAAAATAGGAGAGGAGAGTTATTAAATGGAGAGTTAGAGGTATTGGGAAGATGGAGGGAATATTTTGAGGAATTGTTAAATGTTGATGAAGATAGGAAGCTGTGATTTCGTGTATAGGGCAAGGAGGAATAACATCTTGTAGGATGAGGAAGAGCCAGTTGTGAGTGTGGGGGAAGTTCGTGAGGCAGTAGGTAAAATGAAAGGGGGTAAGGCAGCCGGATTGATTGGATAAAGATAGAAATGTTAAAAGCAGGTGGGGATATAGTTTTGGAGTGGTTGGTGCAATTATTTAATAAATGTATGGAAGAGGGTAAGGTACCTAGGGATTGGCAGAGAGCATGCATAGTTCCATTGTATAAAGGCAAAGGGGACAAAAGAGAGTGCAAAAATTATAGAGGGATAAGTCTGTTGAGTATACCTGGTAAAGTGTATGGTAGAGTTATTATTGAAAGAATTAAAAGTAAGACTGAGAATAGGATAGCAGACGAACAAGGAGGCTTTAGGAAATATTCCCTCCATCTTCCCAATACCTCTAACTCTCCATTTAATAACTCCCCTCTCCTATTTTTAACTGACAAATTCATTTGTTCTCTAGGCTTTCTTAACTTGTTAATCTCACTCCAAAACTTTTTCTTATTTTCAACAAAATTTGTTGATAACATCTCACCCACTCTCTCATTTGCTCTCTTTTTACATTGCTTCACCACTCTCTTAACCTCTCTCTTTTTCTCCATATACTCTTCCCTCCTTGCATCACTTCCACTTTGTAAAAACTTCTCATATGCTAACTTTTTCTCCCTTACTAATCTTTACATCATCATTCCACCAATCGCTCCTCTTCCCTCCAGCACCCACTTTCCTGTAACCACAAACTTCTGCTGAACACTCTAACACTACATTTTTAAACCTACCCCTTACCTCTTCGACCCATTGCCTATGCTCTCATTAGCCCATCTATCCTCCAATAGCTGTTATATCTACCTAACTGCCTCCTCTTTTAGTTTATGAACCTTCACCTCTCTCTTCCCTGATGCTTCTATTCTCCTTGTATCCCATCTACCTTCTCCTGTGTAGCTACAACTAGAAAGTGATCTGATATATCTGTGGCCCCTCTATAAACATGTACATCCTGAAGTCTACTCAAGTCTTTTATCTACCAATACATAATCCAACAAACTACTGTCATTTCGCCCTACATCATATCTTGTATACTTATTTATCCTCTTTTTCTTAAAATATGTATTACCTATAACCAAACCCCTTTTATACAAAGTTCAATCAAAGGCTCCCATTATCATTTACACCGGCACCCCCAAACTTACCTACCACACCCTCTCTAAAAGTTTCTCCAACTTAGCATCAGGTCCCCTTCCACAATTACTCTCTCACCTTGGTTCAAAGGCTCCTATACATTCACTTAACATCTCCCAAAATCTCTCTCTCTCCTCTGCATTCCTCTCTTCCTCCAGGTGCATACACGCTTACTATGACCCACTTCTCGCATCCACACTTTACTTTAATCCACATATTCTTGAATTTACACATTCGTATTCCTCTTTTCTCCTTCCATAACTGATCATTCAACATTACTGCTACCCCTTCCTTTGCTCTAACTCTCTGATAGTCCAGATTTAATCCCATTTATTTCCCCCCACGAAATTCCCCCTACCCCCTTCAGCTTTGTTTCGCTAGGGCCAGGACATCCAACTTCTTTTCATTCATAACATCAGCAATCATCTGTTTCTTGTCATCCGCACTACATCCACGCACATTTAAGCATCCCAGTTTTATAAAGTTTTTCTTCTCTTTTTTTAGTAAATGTCTACAGGAGAAGGGGTTACTAGCCCATTGCTCCTGGCATTTTAGTCGCCTCGTACGACACGCATGGCTTACGGAGGAAAGATTCTTTTCCACTTCCCCATGGGCAATAGAAGAAATAAAGAAGACCAAAGCTATTTAGAAAAAGGAGAAAAACCTAGATGTATGTATACATATATGCATGTGCGTGTCTGTGAAGTGTGACCAAAGTGTAAGTAGGAGTAGCAAGATATCCCTGTTATCTTGCTACTTGTGTTCATGAGACACAAAAAGAAACCAGCAATCCTACCATCATGCAAAACAGTTAGAGGTTTCTGTGCCAGTCATCTGGCAGGACGGTAGTACGTACTTCCCTGGGTGGTTGCTGTCTACCAACCTACTACCTACAGTATTTAGATAAGGCTAAAGAGGTCTTTGTGGCATTTATGGATTTGGAAAAGGCGTATGACAGGGTGTATAGGGGGGGCAATGTGGCAGATGTTGCAGGTGTATGGTGTAGGAGGTAGGTTACTGAAAGCAGTGAAGAGTTTTTACGAGGATAGTGAGGCTCAAGTTAGAGTACATAGGAAAGAGGGAAATTATTTCCCAGTAAAAGTAGGCCTTAGAGAAGGATGTGTGATGTCACCGTGGTTGTTTAATATATTTATAGATGGGGTTGTAAGAGAAGTAAATGCGAGGGTCTTGACAAGAGGCGTGGAGTTAAAAGATAAAGAATCACACACAAAGTGGGAGTTGTCACAGTTGCTCTTTGCTGATGACACTGTGCTCTTGGGAGATTCTGAAGAGAAGTTGCAGAGATTGGTGGATGAATTTGGTAGGGTGTGCAAAAGAAGAAAATTAAAAGTGAATACAGGAAAGAGTAAGGTTATGAGGATAATAAAAATATTAGGTGATGAAAGATTGGATATCAGATTG